AACATACAAGTTGGAAATTTGAAACATATCAAGTATTGTGAATTTGAGAAGTAAGAGAAAACGGATTAAAGCACTTTGGGGTGCGAGGACACACAAGTTGGGAATCTGAAAACACATCGGGTATTATGAGTTTGAGTGGAACATGAGAAAGGAATTGAGAACATCGGGGTGTTAGCACACACAAGTTGGGAATTTGGAACAGATTGGGTAGTAGGAACTTGAGCAGTAAGAGGAATGGGATTGGAGAGCTTTGGGGAGTTAGAACACACAGTTGTCAATTTGGAACACATCGGGTATTTGGAGTTTTGGATTGTTAGAACATACAAGTTGGAAATTGGAAACATATCAAGTATTGTGAATTTGAGAAGTAAGAGAAAAGGGATTAAAGCACTTTGGGGTGCGAGGACACACAAGTTGGGAATCTGAAACACATCGGGTATTATGAGTTTGAGTGGAACGTGAGAAAAGAATTGAGAACATTGGGGTGTTAACACACACAAGTTGGGAATTTGGAATAGATTGGGTAGTAGGAACTTGAATAGTACGAGGAATGGGATTGGAGAACTTTGGGGTGTTAGCACACACAAGTTGGGAATTTGGAATAGATTGGGTAGTAGGAACTTGAGTAGTACGAGGAATGGGATTGGAGAGCTTTGGGGTGTTAGCACACACAAGTTGGGAATTTGGAATAGATTGGGTAGTAGGAACTTGAGCAGTAAGAGGAATGGGATTGGAGAACTTTGGGGTGTTAGCACACTCAAGTTGGGAATTTGGAATAGATTGGGTATTAGGAACTTGAGCAGTAAGAGGAATGGGATTGGAGAGCTTTGGGGAGTTAGCATACACAGTTGTCAATTTGGAACACATCGGGTATTTGGAGTTTTGGGATGTTAGAACATACAAGTTGGGAATCTGAAACACATCGGGTATTATGAGTTTGAGTGGAACGTGAGAAAGGAATTGAGAACTTTGGGGTGTTAGCACATACAAGTTGGCAATTTCGAATAGATTGGGTATTAGGAACTTGAGTAGTAAGAAGGAAAGAAATGGAGAACTTTGGGTTGGAGAACATACAGAAGGTGGGGATTTAAAACACATCGGGTATAATGAACGTGAGTAGAAACCGAGAAGGGAATGGAGCAGCTTGGGGTGTTAGCACACATACAAGTTGGGAACACGTTAGGAACATGAGTAGTAAGAGGGAAGGGAATGGGGAATTTGGGGGGTTAGCACACCACACAAGTTGGGAATTTGGAACACACAAGGGAATGAGGACTTAAGGAGGAGATTATAATGGAAAGAACGGAAGAATTTGGGAATCTGGAAGACATGGGGTCGAAGGATTTCGGACACTAGGAGAAAACCAAAGTAAAAGGGGAAGAAGATACAAAAGGATAAAAAATAAAGAAAATGACATAAAGGTGGGAAGGTAAAGGGAAGGGAGACAAAGTTTTTTGCAGGACGGGAGACATAGGAACACAGAGGAGGATACCACATTACTTGTCTGATTTAACCCCTTAATTACCATAGTAGCGCAGGGCGTACAAACCAGCCATTGTCATGTACACACGCACACTTAAGATATAAAAAAAATATATATATATTTGGTTGATATATATATACACCGCTTCTGGTGGCTCCTCTGGAGACCGTCTTTCATTGAGGGGATCAGAGAAGGCAGGAACAGGGAAGGGAAGGAGTGTGAAAGTGATGAAGGGGTCCCACTTTATCCCACATGGTGATAAACACAGGGGGGGGGTCCTCCGAGGAGGTGACAGAGGGGTACAGACAGGAGGAGGAGTGACAGGCAACACAAAGAAAAAGAACACAAAAGAAAAAAGGAGGAACGGGTGGAAAGGAGGAGCCATTACAAACAATATTTTATTCAAGAGCGGATTGAATAAAAATATTGTATTTCATAATTGTACTGAAAACCAAAAACTGAATAGAAAATAAATCTTGCAAGAAACACCATGAAACATAAGCAGCACAAAATGGAAATGGCAAGAAAAGAAGAGAGAGAGAGAGAGAAGGAAAGAAAGAGAGAAAGAAAAAGAGAGAAAGAAAGAGAGAAAGAAAGCAAAAAATAGAGAAAAGAAAAAAGAGAGCGAAAGAGATACATAGAGGGAGAGAGAAAAAGAGAAAGAGAGAGATGGAAAGAATGAGAGAAAAAGAGAAAGAAATACATGGATAGAGGGAGAGAGAAAAAATGACAGAAAAGAAGAGAGGAATAAAAAGATACATATAGTGGAGAGACAATAAAGGAGAGGAAAAGAGAATAAAAGAGAGAAAGGGAAGGAAAGGAAAGGAAGGAAGGAAGGAAGGAAGGAAGAAAGGAAGGAAGGAAAAAGAAGCAAATCAGAAAGGAGGAGAAAGAAAGGAACAAGTAAAAGAATGCAGAGAAAGGAAAAGAAAGGAGAGCAGAAGAAAAGGGAAGAAGGAATGAATGTAAGAAGGGAAAGAAGGAAAGGGAGAGTAAAGTGATGACAGATGGGAAGGAAAAAAGAAAGAAATGAAAAAAGAAAGGAAGGAATAAAGAAGGAAAAGGCAGAAAAATGAAGTGAAGGAAGAAGGAAAAGAGTTAGGAAAGAAGAGGGAAAAAAGAAGTGAAGGAATGAAGGAAAGGAAAACAAAAGGAAGGAAAAAGAAGTGAAGAAAAAAGGGAAGGAAGGAAACCAGGAAAAAGGAAGATCTGTATAAAGGCAGAACGAAAGTGAAAACAGAGAAAAGGAAATGAAATAAAAAGATAAGATGTGTATATAAAATCTGCATATCAAGCCAAAACTTCTTTTTTTTTACATTTTGTGTAGACTTTGGTTAAAACCCATCTCAGGTTTATTTGGGAGATTTCCTTTAACTTCCTGTACTGGAGAGACAAAACACAAAGTGAAAAGAAATCTCAGCTGCCCCCAGAACGAGCGTCCCCATTGGAGCATTTTCCTCTGATGATTTCCAGTGACATCTGGATTTTCTACCACTTTCTGTGTTGGTGTTAATGGTGACAAAACAAAAAGAGAAGGTGAATCCACCCAGCGGGGACACAGACAGCCAGAAGAACCTGACAGGGGGTTTAACTCTTCATAGACCATCCAAAGATATAAAAAAGAGATTTGGCTTTAGATACACTTGAGAATGGAAGAAGTGAAGCAAGAAAATGAACAAAAGGAAAATAAGTGAGTTACAGAAGAAGAAAATAAAAAAAGATAAAAAAAAAGAAATAATGCAAATATGTTTGTCAGAGAAACAGTAATCAGAGGAAGGAGGAGGAAAGAGAATGATAGGAGAAGAGACAGAAAGGAGAAATGAAAAAGTGGAAATAGAGGTAGGATGAGAAGAGGAGAAAGGAAGTGAGGGGAGACAGCAAGATAGAATGGATGAGAGGGAAGAGGCAGGAAGAGAAAAGAGGGAAGAGGCAGAAAGACTGAAGAGAGAAGAGGCAGGAAGAGAGAGAGGGAGGAAGAGAGAAGAGGGAAGAGGCAGAAAGAGGGAAAAGAGAAGAGGCAGGAAGTGGGAAGAGGAAAGAGGTAAAAAGAGGGAAGAGGCAGAAAGAGAGAGGAGAGAAAAGGCAAGAATAGGCAGGAAGTGGGAAGAATCAGGAAGAGGGAAAAGGCAGGAAGAGAGAAGAGGGAAGGGAAAAGGAAGGAAGAGACAAGAAGAAGGAAGAGGCAAGAAGAGGGAAGAGGCAGGAAGAGGGAAGAGGCAGGAAGAGGGAAGAGACAGGAAGAGGGAAGAGGAAAGAGGTAAAAAGAGAGAAGAGGGAAGAGGCAGAAAGAGAGAGGAGGGAAAGGCAGGAAGAGAGAAGAGGGAAGAGGCAGGAAGAGGGAAGAGGCAGGAAGTGGGAAAGAGGCAAGAAGAGGGAAGAGGCAGGAAGAGACAAAAAGAAAGAAGAGGCAGAAAGAGGGAAGGGGCAGGAAGAGAGAAGAGGGAAGAGGCAGGAAGAGACAAAAAGAAAGAAGGAAGAGCCAAGAAGAGGGAAGAGGCAGGAAGAGACAAGAAGAAGAAGGAAGAGGCAAGAAGAGGGAAGAGGCAGGAAGAGACAAGAAGAAGAAGGAAGAGGCAAGAAAAGGGAAGAGGCAGAAAGAGGGAAGGGGCAGGAAGAGACAAGAAGAAGAAGAAGGAAGAGGCAAAAAGAGAAAAGAGGCAGGAAGAGACAAGAAGAAGGAAGAGGCAAGAAAAGGGAAGAGGCAGCAAAAGGGCAGAGGAAGGAAAAGGGGGAACGAAGGTCAAAAAGAAAGCAGGAGGCACAAAGAAAATGGGAAGGAAGAGAAGACTAGGAGGAAGAGGAAAGAGGCAGGAAAAGAGAAGGAACAGGAAGTGGGCAGAGGTAGTAAGAAGAAAGAGGCTGGCAGAGTGGACAGGCAGGATGGGAGAATAGAAAGGGAGAGGCAAGAAACAGGAGGAGGAAAGAGGCGTAAAGATTGGACAGACAGGAAGAGGAGAGAGAGGGACAGAGCAGAGGAAGGAAGGGAGAAGAGACCGGAAGTGGGAGGAGGGGGAAGGGGAGGCAGCAAAAGGAAAGGGGCAGGAAGAGTGGCGAGAGAAGGAGAGTGAAGAGGTGTAAAGAGAGATTAGATAAGTAGATAAAGTCTAGAGAAACGAAAAGATCAGCAGAAGGAAGAGACAGGAAGAGATCAGCAGAAGGAAGAGACAGGAAGAGATCAGCAGAAGGAAGAGACAGGAAGAGATCAGCAGAAGGAAGAGACAGGAAGAGATCAGCAGAAGGAAGAGACAGGAGCAGCATCTGATCCAGAGATTAATCTGAATGAATCAAACTGAAAGACACTCATCATGATTCCGATGAAAGGAGAAGTCTCATGCACACCTCCCAGGCAGCGAATGTCTGCCAGGCTCTGCATGCTGCGCCAACTTCTGCCCTCACCCCAGACATATCCCTCCCCGCTAAACAATGACAAACCTGGGGGATGGCAGGGGGCAGGCATGAGCCAGGGGGACAGGAAAAGGGGGCTAGTCAGGGGACACACAAGCAAAAGGGAACTTACACTGCACCTGGAGGATCTGATCACTGAGATTAGCACGCAGGTAGTAGGAGCTGTACAGAGGTAAAACCAGACCCAGGCTGCCAGGAACACCAGAGAGAGAGAAGAGAGCGTGGGAGAAAAAAACGGAGAGATGGGGAAGGGGGAGAAGGGGTGAGAGAAGAAGGAAACGAGAAAAGAAAGAAAAGGAAAGAGGAGAAAGGAAAGGAAAGGAAAGGAGAAAGGAAAGGAGAAAGGAAAGGAAAGGAGAAAGGAGAAAGGAAAGGAAAGGAGAAAGGAAAGGGGAAAGGAAAGGGAAAGGAAAGGGGAAAGGAAAGGGGAAAGGAAAGGAAAGGAAAGGAAAAGGGAAAGGAGAAAGGAAAGGAAAGAGGAGAAAGGAAAGGAGAAAGGAAAGGAGAAAGGAAAGGAAAGGGAAAGGAAAGGGGAAAGGACAGAAAAGGAGAAAGGAAAGGAAAGGAGAAAGGAAAGGAAAGGAGAAAGGAAAGGGGAAAGGAAAGGGGAAAGGAAAGGGAAAGGAAAGGAAAAGGGAAAGGAGAAAGGAAAGGAAGGGAAAGAGGAGAAAGGAAAGGAAATGGGAAAGGAAAGGAAAAAGGAGTAAAAAAAGAGAAAAATGAAAGGGGGGGGGAGAAGGAAGGAAGATGGAGAAAGGTGAGGAGGAGAGAGAAAGAAAGAAAGAAAGACATGTGAGAGGTGAAAGAAGGACAGAGAAGAGTAGGGATGAGGAGGACAGAGAAGAGTAGGGATGAGGAAGACAGCAGAGTGGTGATGAGGATGTGGGAGGGTCGGGGAGGGTCGGTGATGTCAGGAAGGGATGAGAGGAGAAGGAGAATTCCATTACTATCTGTTCACAGCTTAGCAGCCAATTACAGTACACATACACAGACACAACTCACACTGCCCCTCCCCCACAGGTTTAAAGGGACCCTGTCAGAATTGCACTTCATAAGTGTCTTTTGTTTTTGAATCCTCATCATCATCATCCTCCTCCTCATCAAATACCCAATACTAATGTCCTCCGCCACAGTGGACTCAGCAGATGGAGAATTCACCGACAACTATATAGAAAACCTGAGGGTACAAGTCACGGCAAGCAGAGCGAATGTAACAATCTCCAGCTCACAGATATTCGCCGTTCTCTGCAGACTATTCCGACAGGCGATTCGTCCCGTGAACCCGCACGTACATTCATTCTGGAGGCATCACAGGATGTCACTAGGTTATTTTCCCTCCAGCTCGAATGTTGATCCCTCACGCAGAATAGGGTGAATCAGGAAAATACCACTTTATGGCCACTAGATGGAGCTGACGATCACAAGAAATAAACAATTCTTTGCTATGACTGTCCGCACCATCTAGTGGCCTTAAGGCTGTATTTTCCCAAACTACTCTTTTGCTATGAATGAATAACATTCGACCCGGTAAGAAAGGAGAATATTAATTGATTTCGCCCCCCCCCCCATTTGCACAGAACGAATGTACATGCCGTGTCACAGGACGAATATCTCTCTGAAGTACATCCTAAGAAAAAGAGCTCTTCAGCAGTTCACTAATAGGAAAGAATTATTGGCGTCTGGATGAATATTATAGATCAGGGTCTCCAAACTTTCTAAACAAAGGGCCATTTCACTGTCCTCAAAATTTAGGGGGGCCGGACTAGTGCCAGTGGGAGTAGAAAATGTCCTCGAGTCCAGTGAGAGTAAACAATGTCTTATCTTTGGTGTCAGTGGGAGGAATAGTGCCCCATAATTGGTGTCAGTGGGAGGAATAGTGCCCCATCATTGGTGTCAGTGGGAGGAATAGTGCCCCATCATTGGTGTCAGTGGGAGGAATAGTGCTCCATCATTGGTATCAGTGGGAGGAATAGTGCCCCATCATTGGTGTCAGTGGGAGGAATAGTGCCCCATCATTGGTGTCAGTGGGAGGAATAGTGCCCCATCATTGGTGTCAGTGGGAGGAATAGTGCCCATCATTGGTGTCAGTGGGAGGAATAGTGCCCCATCATTGGTGTCAGTGGGAGGAATAGTGCCCCATCATTGGTGTCAGTGGGAGGAATAGTGCCCCATCATTGGTGTCAGTGGGAGGAATAGTGCCCCATCATTGGTATCAGTGGGAGGAATAGTGCCCCATCATTGGTATCAGTGGGAGGAATAGTGCCCCATCATTGGTGTCAGTGGGAGGAATAGTGCCCCATCAATGGTGTCAGTGGGAGGAATAGTGCCCCATCATTGGTATCAGTGGGAGGAATAGTGCCCCATCATTGGTGTCAGTGGGAGGAATAGTGCCCCATCAATGGTGTCAGTGGGAGGAATAGTGCCCCATCATTGGTATCAGTGGGAGGAATAGTGCCCCATCATTGGTATCAGTGGGAGGAATAGTGTCCCATAATTGGTGTCAGTGGGAGGAATAGTGCCCCATCATTGGTGTCAGTGGGAGGAATAGTGCCCCATCATTGGTGTCAGTGGGAGGAATAGTGCCCCATCATTGGTGTCAGTGGGAGGAATAGTGCCCCATCATTGGTGTCAGTGGGAGGAATAGTGCCCCATCATTGGTGTCAGTGGGAGGAATAGTGCCCAATCATTGGTGTCAGTAGGAGGAATAGTGCCCCATCATTGGTATCAGTGGGAGGAATAGTGCCCCATCATTGGTGTCAGTGGGAGGAATAGTGCCCCATCAATGGTGTCAGTGGGAGGAATAGTGCCCCATCATTGGTGTCAGTGGGAGGAATAGTGCCCCATCATTGGTGTCAGTGGGAGGAATAGTGCCCCATCATTGGTGTCAGTGGGAGGAATAGTGCCCCATCATTGGTGTCAGTGGGAGGAATAGTGCCCATCATTGGTGTCAGTGGGAGGAATAGTGCCCATCATTGGTGTCAGTGGGAGGAATAGTGCGCCATCATTGGTGTCAGTGGGAGGAATAGTGCCCATCATTGGTGTCAGTGGGAGGAATAGTGCCCCATCATTGGTGTCAGTGGGAGGAATAGTGCCCATCATTGGTGTCAGTGGGAGGAATAGTGCCCCATCATTGGTGTCAGTGGGAGGAATAGTGCCCCATCATTGGTGTCAGTGGGAGGAATAGTGCCCCATCATTGGTGTCAGTGGGAGGAATAGTGCCCCATCATTGGTGTCAGTGGGAGGAATAGTGCCCCATCATTGGTGTCAGTGGGAGGAATAGTGCCCCATCATTGGTGTCAGTGGGAGGAATAGTGCCCCATCATAGGTGTCAGTGGGAGGAATAGTGCCCCATCATTGGTGTCAGTGGGAGGAATAGTGCCCCATCATTGGTGTCAGTGGGAGGAATAGTGCCCAATCATTGGTGTCAGTGGGAGGAATAGTGCCCCATCATTGGTATCAGTGGGAGGAATAGTGCCCCATCATTGGTGTCAGTGGGAGGAATAGTGCCCCATCAATGGTGTCAGTGGGAGGAATAGTGCCCCATCATTGGTGTCAGTGGGAGGAATAGTGCCCCATCATTGGTGTCAGTGGGAGGAATAGTGCCCCATCATTGGTGTCAGTGGGAGGAATAGTGTCCCATCATTGGTGTCAGGGGGAGGAATAGTGCCCCATCATTGGTGTCAGTGGGAGGAATAGTGCCCCATCATTGGTGTCAGTGGGAGGAATAGTGCCCCATCATTGGTGTCAGTGGGAGGAATAGTGCCCCATCATTGGTGTCAGTGGGAGGAATAGTGCCCATCATTGGTGTCAGTGGGAGGAATAGTGTCTCATCATTGGTGTCAGTGGGAGGAATAGTGCCCCATCATTGGTGTCAGTGGGAGGAATAGTGCCCATCATTGGTGTCAGTGGGAGGAATAGTGTCTCATCATTGGTGTCAGTGGGAGGAATAGTGCCCCATCATTGGTGTCAGTGGGAGGAATAGTGCCCTATCATTGGTGTCAGTGGGAGGAATAGTGCCCCATCATTGGTGTCAGTGGGAGGAATAGTGCCCCATCATTGGTGTCAGTGAGAGGAATAACGCCCCCACCATTGGTGTCAGTGGGAGGAATAGCGCCCCAAGGGCCGGATAAAGACAAGTAAAGGGCCACAGTTTGGAGACCCCTGTAACAGAGTAATAATAAATTCCCACGCCTGCGGCCCTTGGATATAATCATCTGCAGAGTCCAGAGCTGAACAAGAAGGCAGGAATGACCAGCGCTGATTACAGCTCCATCAGAAAACGAATTTCAGTTTTGATGACAGGGTCCCTGCAAAGCGTCGGGGAGGGGGCCACACCTAAATATTATAAATCACTAATAAATGACGACATCCATGATGGAGCTACGCGTGAGATCCACACAATTCAAATCTTCGATTATTCCCTCTGGGGTCAAATGATAAAACATCAGCTGGACGAACACACATTCCATGCAGGCCGGACAAATCCCCCCCCCCAATAGAATATTTCCTGCGATCGTCAGCTCTATCTGGTGGCCGAAGCACAGTAATAGTTTTCTTGAAATACTTCAATAAGAAAAAAAAATGAAGCACATTTTTGGCCACTAGGTGGAGCTGATGATCGAAGGAATTCATCTATTGCAGAAATTATGGGAAAAATGCGTTCAGCCGCGACGTTCGTCCAACGAGCGACGAGCGATTTATAAATAGATCCCTTGGTGCCACATTAGTCTGTACATGAGAGATCAGCAGTAGAATGAAGTAACTGATCTCCTCTGCCCAGCCACACATGGGCACAGAGTGTGCGCATCTAGGGTCGGGCGCCCCATGAATGCGCAGGCAACCTACACCCAGCCATCTACAGCCACTTATTATGGAGGTACGAGTCGCCGCTCTCCCAGCCCCGATCCACGTAGGTGTATGCAACGGCCTCAGCCAGCGCTGCTCCACTGACCCCGACAGGACGCGTTTCGTCCCGCCCACCAGGGCTCATTCATAGACCTCTATAACCAATCCTCCGGTGGGCGGGGCGAAACGCATCAGTCGGGAAAGTCTAGACATGTGCACAATGAAAAACTTTGTCTCGTTTCCTTGACTCATTTCGTTTCGTTCGATTAGTAAATTCGTTTAATTCCTTTTTTGGAATTCGTTTAGTTTATTCAAATTCATCTGAATTTGAAATTTCGAAAATTATTCCAACAGATTCGGAAATATTTCTAACGTCGCAATCCATCATCCGCAATCCGTCATCTGCAATCCGTCATCCGCAATCCGTCATCCGCAATCCGTCATCCGCAATCCATCACCCGCAATCCGTCACCCGCAATCCGTCAATCCGCAATCCATCATCCGCAATCCATCATCCGCAATCCATCATCCGCATTCCATCATCCGCATTCCATCATCCGCATTCCATCATCCGCAATCCATCATCCGCAGTCCATCATCCGCAATCCATCATCCGCAATCCATCATCCGCATTCCATCACCCGCAATCCATCATCCGCATTCCATCATCCGCATTCCATCATCCGCAATCCATCATCCGCAATCCATCATCTGCAATCCACGTGTGTTTCTGGAGGTATACCGGGCGATAGGAAGAGTTGCGCGACCATATTGGAAATTTCTATTTCAGCAGAATTTTCACAGTGCCTTCGTTGATCACGACTCACTTCACCATAGCGCAGCTCACAATGTTTTGTAAAGTATTTTATTCTTTTCTAATCTATTCTGTACTTTTCTATTATTTTATATTTTATTTTTTATTTTATATTCTATTCTCATGTATTCTGTTCGAATTCAAAGTCATTCTACTTAAAATTTGACTTTTCGGAAGGCAGTTATATTCTATTCTATTCTTTGATTCTCTATTCTAATATTTTCTATTCTATTCTAATTGATTTTATTCCTTTATTTTTTGTTCTAATTTTTGCTGTTTTACTCTATTATTTTCTGTTCTATTCTTTGATTTTCCATTCTAATGGATTCTATTCCTTTATTTTCTAAACTATTTTCCTCTGTTTTACTTTATTATTTTTTATTCTATTCTTTGATTTTCTATTCTAAGCTTTTGTATTCTATTCTATTCTGTTATTTTCTATTCTAATATTTTTCTATTCTATTCTAATACATTCTATTTTTTTCTATTCCTTTATTTTCTATTCTATTTTGTTCTGTTTTACTTGAATATTTTCTGCTGTATTATGTTCTATTCCTTTATTTTTTATTCTATTTTCTTGTTTTACTTTATTATTTTTTATTCTATTCTTTGATTTTCTATTCTAAGCTTTTCTACTCTATTTTGCTCTATTTTACTCAAATATTTTTTATTCTATTCTTTTATTTTCTGTTCTAAGCTTTTGTATTCTATTCTTTGATTTTCTATTCTAATGCATTCTATTTTTTTCTATTCCTTTATTTTTTATTCTATTTTTCTCTGTTTTACTCCATTATTTTTTATTCTATTCTTTGATTTTCTATTTTAATCTTTTCTATTCTATTCTAATGGATTCTATTTTTTTCTATTCCTTTATTTTGTATTCTATTTTGCTCTGTTTTACTCTATTATTTTCTATTCTAATCTTTGATTTTCTATTCTATTGGATTTTATTATTTTCTATTCTGTTTTGTGTTACTGAAATATTTTCTACTGAATTCTGTTCTATTCCTTTTTTTTTATTCTATTTTTCTCTGTTTTACACTATTATTTTTTATTCTATTCTTTGATTTTCTATTCTAATCTTTTCTATGCTTTTATTTTCTATTCTGTTTTACTCTATTATTTTCTATTGTATTCTGTTCTATTCTCTTATTTTCTATTCTGCTCTTTTTCCTCCTCTATTATTTTCTATTATTTTATTCTCTATTATATTTCTTTCTTTTCTTTTCTATTTTATTCAATTCTTGTTTTCAAATTCAAATTGACTTTCAAATTTGAATTTGATTTCAAAGTGGAATCAATTTGAATTTCAGCCGAACTTTGTTTCGTGATTTCAGATCCGCTTAATTTCATTACTATTGTAATTCGGAATCCCCGAGTAATGGAAAATTTGCCCGAATTTTGATCTGACACAAAACGAACTGCACATGTCTAGCGTGGTCAGTGGAGCAGCGCTGGCTGAGGCCGCCACATACACCTACATGGATCGGGCTGGGCGAGCGGCGTCTCATACTTCCACTGCCGGAACCCCTAGTCCTGGGCCCTGCACTGCACTTCTACCTTTGAGTGGCACTATATCGTCCCACATTCATTAATACGGTTGGTGGTACGCGGTAGCTGCGTCTCTTAGGCGCCGAAATACGCCGTAATTTGCTTTGTGCGGCTATTTCGGAGGTCGTTTGGCAATTCTTTGTTCCATTTTAATCTATTTAGTAGACGTAAACCCGATTAGTAAAACCTCCTGGAAGCTTCAACATGTTCCGGTGACTTCAGAAGTCACTTCCAATCTGTTTAAGGGGCTCATTTACCTCATTTGCGTTAAGGCAGCCTATTGAAACGAATGGGCTGCCAACGCCTCCCAATGTGCTAGAAGCCAGAGCTGATTAGGTGTGGCCCCTTGCAGCTGTCAGGGGCCACAGCTGAGGCTCCCTATTCCTCATGAGTTGACCACCGCTGGCCTACTGGATCACCACTAGAGACAGTTCCAGCAATAGGCCAGAAGGTGGCAGTAAAATACAAGAGCTCGCAGACAGCGGAGGATTCTGGGAGTGCAGCTAAATGCTGGCGTGCATACAACACGCCTCGCCAAATTGGTTTGACCCTCTGCGAGCGTCATTCTCTACACTCCCCAGAAATGCGAATCCTTTCAAGCGATACGTGAGACGGACGTCTTTCTTACCTGTAATTTGTACTGTGAATTGGCGCATATGTGTGTACGTTCGGTCAGCTTCATCGATGTATCTCTGGAAAAGAAGATACGTGAAAATAGCATCGAGAACACATACCGGCTCTGGGCATTGTGGTGGGCACCGGCTCCGGGCATTGTGGAGGGCACCCACTCTGGACATTGTGGAGGGCACCGGCTCTGGGCATTGTGGAGGGCACCGGCTCTGGGCATTGTGGAGGGCACCCACTCTGGACATTGTGGAGGGCACCGGCTCTGGGCATTGTGGTGGGCACCTGCTCTGGGCATTGTGGAGGGCACCGGCTCTGGGCATTGTGGAGGGCACCGGCTCTGGGCATTGTGGCGGGCACCGGCTCTGGGCATTGTGGCGGGCACCGGCTCTGGGTACTGTAGTGGGCACCCGCTCTGGGCATTGTGGCGGGCACCCGCTCTGGGCACTGTAGTGGGCACCCGCTCTGGGCATTGTAGTGGGCACTGGCTTTGGGCATTGTAGTGGGCACCTGCTCTAGGTATTGTAGCGGGCAACGGCTCTGGGCATTGTGGAGGGCACCGGCTCTGGGCATTGTGGTGGGCACCCACTCTGGGCATTGTGGTGGGCACCGGCTTTGGGCATTGTGGCGGTCACCCGCTCTGGGCATTGTGGTGGGCACTGGCTCTGGGCATTGTGGTGGGCACCGGCTCTGGGCATTGTGGAGGTCACCCGCTCTGGGCATTGTGGTGGGCACTGGCTCTGGGCATTGTGGTGGTCACCCGCTCTGAGCATTGTGGTGGGCACTGGCTCTGGGCATTGTGGTGGGCACTGGCTCTGGGCATTGTGGTGATCACCCGCTCTGGGCATTGTGGTGGGCACCCGCTCTGGGCATTGTGGCGGTCACCGGCTCTGGGCATTGTGGAGGTCCACCCACATCACACACATTGCATTGCAACTGAAAGGTCTCCTATTTCCACTGATTGCAAAGTGTGTGGACGTTTCTGAAGATCCCCCCGCTCATAGCTCATAGCTGGAGGACAAATAATGTTCAGAGGTCCTGAAGGCCCCCTCTATGATGTTCAAGAAGGGTCACGGTTTTGGCCCCATCCCCCTCCAAGTCCGGGACAAGGGGTGGGCAGGAGGGGCAGCTGCCCTGGGCACAGTGGTATCACATGAGGTGGGGGGCACTGCATGGAGGGTTCCTACCTACAAGCTGACAGGAGCAGTGACAGCAGGGAGGAGATTTTGGCCGATACATAATGCTCATCTATTTTTTGGGGGGGGGTGGTTGGCATCTTCGACACTAGAAGACCTTGTCCTGGCACTGGGCCCATGTGCACGGTGTGCTCCACAGACCAATCACAGCTCCAGAGAGCTCAGCTATACCTCATCCAAGGACTTCACCAGGGTTCGGATGAGCTGATGTCCCTCCATCCCGTCAATCATCCTCCGTCGGATCTAATGAAAGACACAAAGACGAGAAACGGTCACCACAAAGGAAAAAACCACCAATGAAGATGGCTACCAGCAAGGACAGCGAGAGCTTCACCTCTACCTAGTCCACCATAACTGAAGACCAACAGAACTCACGGGGTTCCCAGGCCAGTGTAAGCGTTGCTTTGCTTTCATCCGCTAGTCTGCAGTCTGCACTACACTGAGTACAAAGACAGTTTTCCCAGTTGACCGTCTGGAACCCCATTGGTGGGGGAAGGGGTTGGCATGGCTTACCTACTCTCATGCATGGGCTGTCCCTTGGCATTGGGGATGGTGATAGGACTCTGGAACCGATTTTTGGTTGTTGTCCCTCCTGGTCTGCAGGTATGTTGCCAATTTTATAAAAAAGGAGAATAAAGGAACGTACACTTACCTCCTCCTTATTCTCATCCTCCAACTCGGCGTCCAGGAAGTCCAGAGTCACCGGCTCCTGGAAGTTGATGACCTGCAAATATCGGAGGGAACCGTCCAAATTAAACTGAAGTGTACAAAAGGCAGATCACTCAAAAGAAACCTCTTCCAGAAACCATCCCGCTCCAAATACCCAATCACATGCATGAATACTGTCCCGGATTTGCTGGGACACGCCCACATCTTGTGCCCCACTTGTGCCGGCAATGTCCTAGGACCACAGGATCGACCCCATGTCCCGGGATCACAGGATCGACCCCATGTCCCGGGATCACAGGATCGACCCAATGTCCCGGGATCACAGGATCGACCCCATGTCCCGGGATCACAGGATCGACCCCATGTCCCGGGATCACAGCATCGACCCCATGTCCCGGGATCACAGGATCGACCCCATGTCCCGGGATCACAGGATCGACCCCATGTCCCGGGATCACAGGATCGACCCCATGTCCCGGGATCACAGGATCGACCCCATGTCCCGGGATCACAGGATCGACCCCATGTCCAGGGATCACAGGATCGACCCCATGTTCCGGGATCACAGCATCGACCCCATGTCCCGGGATCACAGGATCGACCCCATGTCCCGGGATCACAGGATCGACCCCATGTCCGGATCACAGCATCGACTCCATGTCCCGGGATCACAGGATCGACCCAATGTCCCGGGATCACAGGATCGACCCCATGTCCCGGGATCACAGGATCGACCCCATGTCCCGGGATCACAGCATTGACCCCATGTCCCAGGATCACAGGATCGACCCAATGTCCCGGGATCACAGCATCGACCCCATGTCCCGGGATCACAGGATCGACCCCATGTCCCGGGATCACAGCATCGACCCCATGTCCCGGGATCACAGCATCGACCCCATGTCCCGGGATCACAGCATCGACCCCATGTCCCGGGATCACAGGATCGACCCCATGTCCCAGGATCACAGGATCGACCCAATGTCCCGGGATCACAGCATCGACCCCATGTCCCGGGATCACAGCATCGACCCCATGTCCCGGGATCACAGCATCGACCCCATGTCCCGGGATCACAGCATCGACCCCATGTCCCGGGATCACAGCATCGACCCCATGTCCCGGGATCACAGGATCACCCCATGTCCCAGGATCACAGGATCGACCCCATGTCCTAGGATCACAGGATCAACCCCATGTCCCGGGATCACAGCACCAACCCCATGTCCCAGGATCACAGGATCAACCCCATGTCCCGGGATCACAGCATCAACCACATGTCCCGGGATCACAGCATCAACCACATGTCCCAGGATCACAGCACCAACCCCATGTCCCAGGATCACAGCACCAACCCCATGTCCCAGGATCACAGGATCGACCCCATGTCCCGGGATCACAGCATCGACCCCATGTCCCGGGATCACAGCATCAACCCCATGTCCCGGGATCACAGGATCGAACCCATGTCCCGGGATCACAGGATCGACCCCATGTCCCGGGATCACAGCATCAACCCCATGTCCCGGGATCACAGCATCAACCCCATGTCCCGGGATCACAGCATCAACCCCATGTCCCGGGATCACAGGATCGACCACATGTCCCAGGATCACAGCATCAACCCCATGTCCCGGGATCACAGCATCAACCCCATGTCCCGGGATCACAGCATGGACCTTATCTGAGTAACAGGAACTGAGTGTGCTACACACACCCAAAAGTACACAGAATGTGTGCAGCACATCCAGTTCTTTAGCCACTCCACCATGTCCCCTCCCCCAATGTCCAGCAATTTAAAGCTCTGAATATTAAGCTGAATGTTGCTGTTTACATACAGACGCTTCAGTGTTTATCGATACAGTTCAGATGAGAAATAGAGAGATACAGAGTAACATTGTTTATAAACATCGATCAGACGGGAGATGGAAAGATACAAAGTAACATTGTTTATAAACATCGATCAGACGGGAGATAGAGATACAAAGTAACATTGTTTATAAACATCAATCAGACGGGAGATGGAAAGATACAAAGTAACATTGTTTATATACATCGATCAGACGGGAGATGAAGAGATACAAAGTAACATTGTTTATAAACATCGATCAGACAGGAGATGAAGAGATACAAAGTAACATTGTTTATAAACATCGATCAGACGGGAGATAAAGAGATACAAAGTAACATTGTTTATAAACATCGATCAGACGGGAGATAGAGATACAAAGTAACATTGTTTATAAACATCGATCAGACGGGGGATGGAGAGATACAAAGTAACATTGTTTATAAACATCGATCAGACGGGAGATAGAGAGATACAAAGTAACATTGTTTATAAACATCGATCAGACGGGAGATAAAGAGATACAAAGTAACATTGTTTATAAACATCAATCAGACAGGAGATGAAGAGATACAAAGTAACATTGTTTATAAACATCGATCAGACGGGAGATGGAGAGATACAAAGTAACATTGTTTATAAACATCGATCAGACGGGAGATGGAGAGATACAAAGTAACATTGTTTATAAACATCGATCAGACGGGAGATGGAGAGATACAAAGTAACATTGTTTATAAACATCAATCAGACAGGAGATGAAGAGATACAAAGTAACATTGTTTATAAACATCGATCAGACGGGAGATGGAGAGATACAAAGTAACATTGTTTATAAACATCGATCAGACGGGGGATAGAGATACAAAGTAACATGGTTTATAAACATCGATCAGACGGGAGATAGAGATACAAAGTAACATTGTTTATATACATCGATCAGACGGGAGATAGAGAGATACAAAGTAACATTGTTTATAAACATCAATCAGACAGGAGATGGAGAGATACAAAGTAACATTGTTTATAAACATCAATCAGACAGGAGATGGAGAGATACAAAGTAACATTGTTTATAAACTTCGATTAGATGGGAGATAGAGAGATACAAAGTAACATTGTTTATATACATCGATCAGACGGGAGATGGAGAGATACAAAGTAACATTGTTTATATACATGGGCCGGACAGAAAGTGGTTAAAATGTTTGTGAGAATTTGTATTACATGGGCAGCTTCTCCTTCTTTCTAACAATGCTGTACGGTGACTGTGCTCTTCTGTTCCTCACCCTCGGTGCAGATTGATCAGCCTCTGTAGTCGGTGTTCACCTTCCGTTCACCGTGGGAAGGTCTTATTTGTGTCAATTAGGTGTAATTTGGTGTCTAACATCTACAGCTTCAGCTCATTCTTAGTGAATCAACTCCTAGGTGACTAACTGATCTTATCTCATCACTGATGCTGCTCACTCTCCCTGACGTACAGCAAAGGAGAACCCATAGCTATGTACACTCACCGGCCACTGTATCAGGTCCACCCTGCTAGTCCCGGGTTGGACCCCCTTTGGCCTTCATTCTTGGTGGCAGAGATCCAACAAGGCGTTGGAAACGTTCCTCAGAGATTTTGGTCCATAGTGACATGATGACATCACGCAGTTGCTGCAGATTTGTCGGCATGTCCACCCCTCTATGACTCCAGTGTCCCCATCTTCTGATGGCTCCTCCCAGCAGGATAATGCTCCATGTCACAAGGCTCCAATCATCTCCAGATGGTTTCTTAAACATGACAATGAGGTCACTGGACTCCAATGGCCTCCACAGTCACCAGATCTCCATCCAATAGAACACCCTTTGGGATGTTGTGGAACGGGAGATTCCTAACATGGATGTGCACATGATGCGAATCTCCCGTTCCACCACATCCCAAAGGGTGCTCTATTGGATGGAGATCTGGTGACTGTGGAGGCCATTTGAGGACAGTGACCTCATTCTCATGTTGGAGATGATTGGAGCTTTGTGACATGGTGCATTATCCTGCTGGGAGGAGCCATCAGAAGATGGGGATAATGGAGTCATTAAGGGATGGACATGGTCAGCAACAATACTCAGGTAGGCCGTGGTGTTTAAACGATGCTCAATTGGTACTAAGGGGCCCAAAGTGTGCCAACAAAATACCCCCCACACCAAGACATCACCACCACCAGCCTGAACCATTGATACAAGGCAGGATGGATCCTCCTCACCATGACACCACCAGCCTGAGCCGTTGATACAAGGCAGGATGGATCCCCCACACCATGACACCACCACAACCAGCCTGAAGCGTTGATACAAGGCAGGATGGATCCTCCTCACCATGACATCACCAGCCTGAGCCGTTGATACAAGGCAGGATGGATCCACCACACCATGACACCACCACCAGCCTGAACCGTTGATACAAGGCAGGATGGATCCCCCACACCATGACACCACCACAACCAGCCTGAAGCGTTGATACAAGGCAGGATGGATCCATGACACCACCACAACCAGCCTGAACTATTGATACAAGGCAGGATGGGTCCACCACACCATGACACCACCAGCCTGAACCGTTGATACAAGGCAGGATGGATCCTCCTCACCATGACACCACCAGCCTGAGCCGTTGATACAAGGCAGGATGGATCCATCACACCATGACACCACCACCACCATCCTGAACCATTGATACAAGGCAGGATGGATCCCCCACACCATGACACCACCACAACCAGCCTGAAGCGTTGATACAAGGCAGGATGGATCCATGACACCACCACAACCAGCCTGAACTATTGATACAAGGCATGATGGATCCACCACACCATGACACCACCAGCCTGAACTATTGATACAAGGCAGGATGGATCCACCACACCATGACACCACCAGCCTGAACCGTTGATACAAGGCAGGATGGATCCACCACACCATGACACCACCACCAGCCTGAACTATTGATACAAGGCATGATGGGTCCATGCTTTCATGTTGTTTACGCAAAATTCTGACCCTACCATCTGAATGCTGTAGCTGAAATCCAGACCCATCAGACCAGGCAACGTTTTTCCAGTCTTCTATTGTCCAATGTTGGTGATCCTGTGCAAATTGCAGCCTCCGTTTCCGATTTTTAGCTGACAGGAGTGGCCCCCAGTGTGGTCTTCTGCTGCTGTAGACCATCTGCTTCAAGGTTGGACGTGTTCTGCGTTCAGAGATGGTATTCTGCATACCTTGGGTGTAACGAGGGGTTATTGGAGTTACTGTTGCCTTTTTATCATCTCCAACCAGTCTGCCCATTCTCCTCTGACACCAACAAGGCATTTTTTCCTCCACACAACTGCCGCTCACTGGATATTTTCTCTTTTTCGGACCATTCTCTGTAAACTCTAGAGATGGTTGTGCGGGAAAATCCCAGGAGATCGGCAGTTTTTGAAATACTCAGCCCGTCTGGCACCAGCAACCATGTCACGTTCAAAGTCACTTAAATCCCCTTTCTTCCCCATTCTGTTTGAACTTCAGCAAGTCGTCTTCACCACATCTAGATGCCTAAATGCATTGAGCTGCTGCCATGCGATTGGCTGATTAGCAGTTTGTGTTACCAAGCCATTGAACAGGCGGACCTCATAAAGGGGCCAGTGAG